CAAATGAAAAGGACTCTGATTCTCTGAAGATTGCGATGATTAGTCATCACTATTAGTAATAGAAATTTAAAAGTCAAGCAATTTTTTTTTTTTTTGGTAAAAAACAGATAACAAAGTTTGTGGTACGACATCCCCAATTATTTTGGAGAGTAATGGTGGTGTTCTGAACGCCATAGTCGAGGAATAAAAATAAGAAAACAACTTTTATTTTGAGGTCGATCGCGCAAGTTGTCTTCTGATTAGATTACGCCCCAACTTTTTCTTTCTGTTTTCTTTCTTTCTCTCTCTCTCTCTTTTATGAGAAGGACGTAGCTTTATTAAGAAGAAAAGAAGTTACTAACGAACTTATTAAGTAAAATTTAGGGCGTAAGTTTTTATGAATAAAAAAATAAATATTTAAAGAATTTTTTATGAGATTTAATATGATTTAATTTTAAATTAATTAAAATTTAATATAATTTTAGATGAAAAATGATTATGAGATAATTTTTTTATTATTTTTTTGTACAACTTAACATGTCATTTATATAAATTTTTTTTATTTATGTGGGTTTCATGGTATTGAATATATCAACTTATTTAATAACATATAAAAATTGTATAAAAAATAACATAAAAAAATTATCCTTATAATACCATCCAATTCTAGATACAGGAAAATTAGTAAAAAAAAAAATTTATCGTACCATCTAATTCTAGATACAGAAAGATTAGTAAAAAAAAAAAAGAAATTTACATCCTACCTATGCCACGCCATGTAGGTTAAACAAGGAAATATAAAAACACTAGAATATTATATAAACGCTAAAAATCATGGTACATTAGGAATGTAGATAATTAAATGTAAAGAGTTTGGATTATTAGTAATGATAAGTGTGAACAATTAATGCCCACAAAAGGATGTGGGCAATTAAGTACAGAAGGTTTTAAAGATATTAATAAAAACTAAGGGGATTAATAGGTCCATAGGCATATTACATTAAAATTTTAAAGTAATAATAAAAACTTTAATTTTATTCCCAGTTATCACTTATTTTTAATACATAAAGACTTTAATATTTGATTATATCTCACCAACAACTAAAAAAAGCGACCTAATATCAACCTCATTTAATTTCAAATCTACATTATTTTCATTTTATACCATGAGTAAGACTCAACAAAATATATCATGAAAGCATTGATAGACACTCCTAAAAAAAGATGATAAAATCTCTTTCAAAAAAAAAAAAAACAACTTTAAATAAAGGGAAACAATCCACCTTAATTCATTCTCCCCAACCGCATCCTCCTCAACCGTAGAAGGGAATAAGAGCAGCAAATAGGAAAAAATAATAGAAGAGAGAAAGGAGGGTATGAGGATGAGATACAGAAAAGAGTGGCGGCATGGGTTTTTGTATGGCTATGCGCCCAACAAATTTGAAATGTCATATTTTGTCAGTGATGATGCAATTCCGTCCTTAGATTTGATTATATAATTAACACATGTTTGAAAGAAAAATATTTAATTATATTTTATCAAAAAATAAGAGGACACATTTACAATGTCTTATTTTTCACTTTAATTGAAAGAAAAAAAAAAAAGAAAAGAAAAGAAAAAGAAAACCGCTATTTGGACCCAGTTGGTTTGGTTTCGCCCTGGCCAGTGCTACCGCCTTCGTCGTCCCCAACTTTAACCGTCCGAATCTTGAATCTATGGAGCCTCAATGACGGCTCGCCGCCTTTGTCGTCCCCAATTTTAACCGTCGGCTCGTCGCCTTTTCCCTTTAGCTCCCGCGGCGAGCCAATACTCAAACTCCTCCGCAAGCCTCTAACCTTTACTTCACTCGTCCTGACTCGAGAACGTCGAAACAACTCCTCCGTGATTTTATCGAGAAGCTCTCCAAACTCATGGTGATCTTCCGGAAATATGTTCTTCAACAATTCCTTCCTCCGGACGTATAGCTCTCGGAAAAACTCAAACACCACAGTCAACCTTGGATCCAGCGATTTCCCCATCTTCCTCGCCTTTTCTTGGATTCTGTGGTGATTGTCACCCATGTCGCCGTATCTTCTTCTGTAAAGCCCCTTTCCCATCAACAACACACCATCGTCGTAATCATAAAACTCTGAAACGTGAGAATCAGGTAGCCGCAACTTTCGATGATCTTCCATGACCGTAATCAATTACCAACAAATATTTGTATTCTGATTGAACGTTGCTTGAAATTATGATTTGTGGATCGAGTTTGGGATCTACATATATAGATGAAGATGCTTGTGCATCAAGAAAATTTCAATTTTTTCATCAAGCCATGCGTGGCTGACTAGCCTGAATTATCAAGAATGATTCAAGCTTGAGTAGTTACGCAACCTGAAAATTAAGTTGAAAAAAAACAAGAACTGACATTTCAAAATTGAGTTCCCTTCAATTTTCTTTTATTTATTACTAATTTTTAAGCAAAGATTAGGTGTATTAAAAGAAATTCCACTGGTTTGACAATTCCCCACATCTTGTTTCCTGGGAACTGTAAGATCTTTGATAAATTTTTGGTTGAAATGTGGGGGCGGTGCTTCAATCCAGGTAGGGGGCGGGAGACTGAAGATTTGACCAAGGATAGGGACTAAAACTAGCATATAGAAAAGAAGTTAAAATCATCTTATATATCACAAAGTTTAGGGACTAAAAAGAAAAAGGAAAATTTACTTCTCAAAAGTTCAGTCGACACGCTTACAAATGGAAACGTCTGAACTGTAACCGTAACAATCTGTAAAGCAAGAACCGGACGTAAAATATAATTTGAATTTTCTTGTTTTATTGACTTGAAAATAATTTGAACATTCTATGAGCGGGAATGCCAGATCCCTCAACACTCCCTCACTCTCTTTCTCTCTCCACTTTCTTCTTCTCTGATAGTTTTAAGGATATCCATTTTCTCTGCAAAACTTAGTAAAAACTCAGCGAGGAAACTGTTCTGTTCTTCGAATCGATCTTCTTCAATCGATTTCACTTTCGCGAGTTCGTGGTTTTCGCCTCGGGTAACTATCATTTCTCGATGATGTCTGTTTTTCTTTTCTTTTGGTTAAATTTCGTCACAAAGAAAAATACGAGCGGCTGATGAATTTGAAGATTTTTGGTTAATTTTTTGAATTACGAAAAATAATACCTTAACATTTAATTTAATTTTTTTTTTTTTGTAATTTCCAATGCTAATTTTGGTTACTTTTCTCTGTAAATTCCAGGCATTGCAAAGCATGTTCAAATTCGATCTCCGGATCTCTAATTTTTTAGCTCAATTGGCTCACTGAGCTTAGAATTGAGTTTAGTTCAAATTCATTGCTAATTTTAGTCAGTTTTTGTGTGTGTGTGTTTTTTTTTTTAAATCGGCATTATAGATCTGAGCAGAAAAAGAGGGAAAAACACAGGTGTAGTAGAATCTAAGTATGGGTTTAGAAGATTACCATGTGATTGAGCTGGTAGGTGAAGGCTCTTTTGGGAAAGTATACAAAGGAAGGCGAAAGTTCACCGGACAGGTAATTCACTTGTTCCATTTCTGTATTAAGTTCCTTATTAGAAGGTTTTCAACTTCTCATTTTCCTTTTGGTTCTTAATACTTTATTTTCCAATATATCAGACTGTTGCCATGAAGTTTATTATGAAGCAAGGCAAAAGTGAGAAGGACATCCATAACTTGAGACAGGAAATCGAGGTAATAAAAATTCACTACATCCTTGTTTCTACTTATACCGAAAGCCATGAAATTGAGGTCCTGCGATATTTGTCATGATTCATGAGATAGTATATATGTGTACTTAACTGATCAGGAACAAATTATAAATCTAATATGAAGATTTTTGACGTATTTTATGTATACTGCAGATTCTGAGGAAGCTGAAGCATGAAAATATTATTGAAATGCTTGACTCGTTTGAAAGCCCACAAGAGTTTTGTGTGGTCACAGAATTTGCACAAGTAATGATCTGTTTTCTTGATAATGGTGCCTTGTATGCCGATTCTGCTTTTATACAAACATTGCAAATGGACAGTTTAGTTTTGTGCAACTGCTTAATGAATTAGCAGTTCATAGTATTTTCTTTGTTTGCTTTGTTTGCTTTGTTTGCAGGGTGAGCTATTTGAGATTCTTGAGGATGACAAGTGCCTTCCAGAAGAACAAGTTCAAGCGATTGCAAAGCAATTGGTAATTTCATTTCTGAAATATGGTTGACTTCTGATTTCCCTATCATTTGATTTTTGCTGCTTCTAGCTTACTCGTTTTACTAGGTAGATAATTTTCCTCTTTTCTCGTTAAAATTTAGGTCAGGGCATTGCATTACTTGCATTCCAACCGTATTATACATCGTGACATGAAGCCACAAAACATCCTAATTGGAGCTGGCTGTGTTGTTAAGGTTAGTAGATTAATAGTATGCATGTGTTTTATTTGCTTATGATTTATGTTCTTCATAATAATGTCAGATATTCCAGTTACTTATTGTTGAGTTTTAGCTATTCTCTTTCCTTTGTCTCTATTCAATCATTGCAGCTCTGCGATTTTGGGTTTGCTCGTGCAATGTCCACAAATACTGTTGTTTTGCGCTCCATAAAAGGTTTGCTAGATAATAAAATCCAAATAGTTTCATCTCTGTAATTTGTATCTCTCATTGAATTATTCAATAAAATATTCTATGATTTCCTTCTATGTAACCCTATCAACACTGGTTTTCTAAATTTTTATCAGGCACCCCTCTGTATATGGCCCCGGAGTTAGTCCGAGAGCAGCCCTACAATCACACCGCTGATTTATGGTCTCTTGGAGTTATATTGTATGTAAAACGTTTTCTTAGTTTTCTCCTTCATTTGACTTTAAATGCTGTGGTGATACTGTGATAGGAATATCCCTACTCCTGTTGTTTTTTATTTATTTTTTTCTTCTATCTGCTCCTTTTTCAATAATTTGTATTGATTGAAATAACTGACTAACTATGAATTGCATAGGTATGAATTATTTGTTGGGCAGCCTCCATTTTATACAAATTCAGTATATGCACTCATCCGGCATATTGTTAAGGTCCATTGAGTTGACATTTTTTTCCTCAAAATCTTTCTTTCTCAAATTCTCATAGTTGGTGTGTCAAGGTAAGTAACATGAGGGTATTTGGTGAATCAGGATCCAGTCAAATACCCAGATGATATGAGTCCAAGTTTCAAGAGTTTTCTGAAGGGATTGCTCAATAAGGTTGTTCTCTTGTTAGGAAGTATTATTCATTTAAATTATTAGATTTAGCTTTTGTTTTATCTTGGAATTGTGATTTGGTTTTAATATCATGGGAAACAGGATCCTCAAAATCGACTGACGTGGCCTACACTTCTTGAACATCCATTTGTTAAAGAAACCTCCAATGAGCTGGAGGCTCAGGTAACAAATTGATTTTACAATATGTTTTTGCTTAGTTGGAAACAAGAAAGTGATGTGAAACATTTGTTGCTATAGAACAGTGTCAACATTTTTTGCATCCAAGACATTTGTGGTGGTTCATCTTTTATCAGAGAAATACATTTTAGAATCATGGACATCTGAAACTTGGTGAAACATTTCAGGAGATACGTCCTCCAATCCCTACAGCCAGAGGATGTGAAGCGGCATGGAAGGGTGTAGGCAATGCCATTCAAACTCCAAATGGTCTGAATATCACCAATTCTTTGACTATTGGCTATTGCCTTTCCTTCATACACTATATACATAGTTTTTGCCTATAATGAATTTCTTTGCCTTGGATAAAAGCAATTCTTGTATTGTTTCAGGGTATGGTGTTTCTCCAAGGGTTCAGAGTGGTGCTCAGCTAAACAATCTTAGTACTGCTGATGGAAATTCTTCACCAAATGAGGAGTTTTCAGGGCTTTCAAGTCCTAATGAATTTAAACCATCAGGTTGGCAAAATTTTGATGTGTTTTCAGGTTTTTGTTTTATGTTAGAGTTGGATGCCTTTGTAATGGTTGCTGGAATAGAGAAATTTTTTTGTGTAGCCCCCTGGTGTTATTTAGTCTTCAAGTGACTTATGCCATATATAGTATATGATATATGTTGCTAAGAGATGGACTACCAGAGTGACCAATTTTGTCCTTTTCTCTGTTATCATACCATGTTGTGGCTTAAATTCCTAGTGTCACTTTGGCTCCATTCATTTGCTCCTTGCATGCAAAGCTCTTCCTTGTCAAATGCTTATTATCTTCTCAAACTACTGGCTAATATCTTCTATTGGAACGCCTGAACTCCCACCCCCCTCGCCCCCTTGGTGATTAGAGAATTTTAACCCAGAGTTATTGAAAGCCCATTTTGTCTCTAATTTTGGTTATTCCGCATGTAATTTATTCTGTACTTAATTTTTTTGAGAGAATGTTGTTCTCACATATTAAAATTTTTTATATAATTTTCTTCAGGTAACCAGTCATTGGACAGATTAGAAAATAGCTCCCGCACAGTTAAAGGTGCTCAAATTATTGGTCAAGATAATGAAGCATTAACACTTGTTATGCTGCCACTGAAGAAATGGTCAAAAGGATCCCATGATTCTTGCAGGTAAAGTTATGTTGTATGCATCACCTTCCTTTAGTATTTGGCATCTAACTTGCTTTTTTGGTTGCATGTGTTATATTTTGTTTGAGTGAATGGCAGATGTCTGTTGATGCTTTGCTGTGAATTGTAATTTTCTCTCAAACGTTTACAGGGATCAAGATATTCTCAATTCAGGCCAGTCACTGAGAATTGTTGCAAACCTAGCTGCAGCTGGTGCTATTCATTCTGGTGGACTGCGTGATGAAATAATGTGTCAACTTCTTGATTTCACTGCTGTCATAGTTGGCTTGAAATCATCAGCAGTTAATGACTTAATAGCAAAGGTATGTAGTATATGCTTAAATCTCACCTAGAAGCGAGGAATTTCTAGCTCTTTCGTATACACTCTCTATAAATTCCACGTGTACTTGGAATCCAGTTATTATTAATGTAAATTGGCTGTAATCAAGGTTATTATTTTTTTTTGTTGATGGTAAAATTTCATCCTATTTTGTCAATTTTAAGTTTTACAAATTCCTGCACTTATCAATCAAGCAGATGGACTAATAGTATGAAAAATATATACATTTTTCCAGCATGCCAAGTGATTGTTTGCTCCTTCTCCATTTTGATTTGTGCATTCTTCTTCCTTTTCATTTAAACACAGATATAGTTGTTGCTTCCTTTCCTAGCACTGTTTTTGATACTAGCATTGTATCAGCTTATTCTTCTAGTAAATGATTTGATCCTCTAAACTTAAATCTTTGATCACTAAATTTTTATCCATAAGGACCATAGCATTCACTTTTTGATTATTAATTCCGGCTGACATTTCTTTGATATGCAACTTTTGCAGAGTTTTTCAATTATTAAAATATTGTTGACAGAGAACAGTGGTGGTGACATTGCAAATTCATATTTGAAGCACTGGTTTGCCATATCTGATATTTTCTCTCAGGTTATATTCTATTACAACCAAACAAAGGTTTGCTGGCAATTAGTGCACCTGCCTCTAACTTTCTCATACTTCTATATATACAGGTTGTAGGTAGCAATGAAGATGCCTCTGGGAAAGTTTTGTATGAGTCTTGTTCTTGCATCACAATTGTATTATCTAGAGTAGCTAGAGATCTTAAAACATATAGTCCAACTCCAATTCCTCAGCCTGTTTCTTCTCCCCCTGCTGTGAATGAATCACTGAAACGAGTTTTGGACCATGCTAAGGCATCCCACCTAGTAGATAATCTATGTCTATGTTTAGCAACTTCAGGTTCAAGTCTCAATTCAGGGTCTTCAAATATGCTACGTGTTGCTTGTGAAGCATGCAAGGCTCTCTGGTCACTCATAGATGCTTTGGAAATTCTTTTCATGAAAGAGAATGCTATGTTATTTCCTTTGGATGCTATCCGGAGTCATTCTGTAGTCCGACTTGACATCAGGGATCATGACAGAGGTCCACTGGCTGGGATGGAATCAGCAAAAGTTGTTGAAGCTGTGACTAGGGCATTTCTTAGATCCAAAGCCATTCAGTTTGCTATTAGCCATTGCCTTCATCAACGAGTAGAGTCTGCCTTATCTGCCATTGTTCAGGTTTTGCTTCTTGATTTTCTGAAATTTCTTCTTTACTGAGTGATTGGAGAAATAAGAATAGTTAATTAACAATTACTTGTCTAGTCCCAATTATTTTTGGTAGTCAGGCATGGAATAATTTTTTTCTTCTCATTGTTTCAGCTATTATCCAGATGCTGCCTTCTTAGTGGAATCATGCCGACTGTTCTTTGTGGCTTACCCAGCTCCCTGCCTGTTACTACTGTTGTTAGTGGTGGAGGAGATGGCACTATTGTCTCCGAGCTGTTCTCTATATTATCTACATGTTCATCTTTAAATAAAGATGGACAAACAGAAGCACCTAACTTGAAGTGCAAATTAAGCAATCCTTCTGCCTTGATTCTGCATTCCTGCCTTCTCCTTGCAATGGTTGCTCAATCGTTGAAGTCTACTGGAAGAAATTCTGCCTTATTCATGCTTACAACCTCCCAAAAGAAGCAATTCTCTCGACTGTCAATCCTTGCTCATCATTTTTCTTGTGATGATGGAATTAAAGCTACATTTCAACCTCATTGCGCGTCAGCCATGCTGGCCCTTGCGTCCATATTATCTCTTGAAAATGGCTCTTCGGTTGAGTCTTCTGTCTCTGAAATTGCTGTTCCTCTGATTCCTCGCACAGCTACCCTCTATGATCACCTTAAAATTTCATCAGCATGTGAAAATGTAGGCCCTAATAACTCAAATACTTCTCTCTCATGCTGGCATGGGCTTAAGGATGGATGCATTGGCTTGTTAGAGTCCAGACTAAAGTGGGGAGGACCATTAGCTGTCCAACAGTTGATTGCAAGTGGCATTCCTCAGCTTCTTGTTGATTTATTGGCCAACAACCATTCAAATGCATCCCATCAAGGAATTGATAATGCAACTGGAGTTGGGTTATCCCCTCCTGGAGTTGTATGGATGGTTTCATCACTATGTCATTGCCTTTCAGGCGGAGTTGCAACTTTTCGTCAGATCTTGGTTAGGAGTGAACATGTGAAGCTCATTTGCAGCTTGATATCTGATGTTCATCTCAAGCTTGTTAGGTCCTGGGTTGGGTTGGGTGGAGGAAAGGATGGAGTCAGGGATATAGTAAATGTAGTAGTTGATCTCTTAGCATTTCCTTTTGTTGCTGTACAGAATGCTCCAGGTTTGCCATCTGCCTCTGCTTCTGTAAGTAGTGGGTTCATTCTCAACATGGGTTCACCTGGTGGGAAAGTATGCATGGAAGACAAGGACATGGCGAAAGCAATTGAAGAAGACATGGGGAAATATATTAAAATCCTCCTGGAGGTTAGAATTTTTATTCCTATTCTTTTTCTTCGAAGTCTTTCCGCTTGTCATTTTTATAGGTTTGTAGTTGGACAATGTAATAAGAAGACCAAGTATGTTGAAATCATTTTCAAACATAACCCTCAAGGAAACACGGAACAGTGTAAAGGAGACATCTTCACAGTTTGTTCGACATTCTGGTTGTATTTGTGGCGTGAAAAAATGTTAAAATGCTGGGACAGCATCATGATGTTGGGATGGGCATCAACCTTTGTCTGATTAAATTCTCTTTTCAATTTCTTTTTTTTTCTTTTTTTCTTTTTTTTGGAGTTTTCAGGTGGGAGTGCCTGGCAACATTCTTCGATGTCTGGAACACTTGGAATTAAAGGATTTGGGAAGGCCAGTTGCTTTTCTAGCCAAAATGATAGGACATCGACCTCTTGCAGTTCAACTTGTTGGGAAAGGCTTGTTGGATCCAAATAGAGTGAAAAGGCTGTTTGATACTTCGAGTCCAAGAGAAGTTACATTGGATGCTCTGATGATTGTTTCTGATCTAGCTCGCATGGATAAGGTCAGATTATGTTCTCATTATGAATAAAGTGAAATAAACCTACACCAAGGTCTGACTGATGAACTTTTCATGATATGGACATGCAGGGATTTTACGAATTCATTAATGGGGCCTCCATTTTAGAGTCTTTGAGAGACTTCCTCGCCCACGAAGATCCCAATGTACGTGCAAAGACTTGCAATGCCCTTGGCAACATGTGTCGGCATAGCTCCTACTTTTATAATCTACTAGTAAGAATTGATCAACAAACAAATTTGTACAATACCAAACTGATTATCAGTTCTACCGTTGTTGCTAACAAATATAATAATGTAGGCAAGGCATCGCATTATTGGCCTTCTCATTGATCGATGTGCTGATCCAGACAAGCGAACACGGAAATTTGCATGTTTTGCAGTAAGTCCTAGTATATCTTTAGCTCTATTGCAGTGGAAATGCATGGATTGGATGGGATGGCAGGGGTAGGGAAATTTACAACTGTCGGATAATGATTTTGTGGACATGCATAAATCTCTTTATGCAGATTGGGAATGCTGCCTACCATAATGATATGTTGTATGAAGAACTGAGGAGAGCTATACCTCAGTTAGCAAACCTTCTGCTTTCCGCAGAGGAAGACAAGACAAAGGCCAATGCTGCAGGAGCACTCAGCAATCTTGTCCGCAACTCCGGCAGGCTCTGCGAAGACATTGTTTCAAAAGGAGCCTTGCAGGTGTGCTGATTTAAACTTCTATTTCTATTTCTATTCTGATTTAAACTTCTATTTCTATTTCTATTTCATAATCTCTATGCC